CTCCAGCTCCAGCTCCAGCTGCTGTCGCATCCTCAGACTCGGCGACAGCAGCGTCTTCGACCGCGACTCCGGGCCAGACCCCGGCCTCCGCGCAAGCCCCAGCGCAGACCGCTGCGCCCTCACTGGCTGGCCCTGCTCTTCCAGGGCCCTTTCCTGGCGGCCGCGTGGTCAGGCTACACCCGGTCATTTTGGCCTCCATCGTGGACAGCTACGAGCGACGCAACGAGGGCGCTGCCCGAGTTATCGGGACCCTGCTAGGTGAGTGGCCAGAGAAAACTGATCTTTTCCTCCACCTCTCGTTTGTGTTGCCTCTGTCTCTCACTCTTTTCACTCATGGCGCCCTAACTCTCCTCGCATTTCTCCTGACCTCTTGCCTAGTTCTCCATCCCTCCTCCCAGGTACGTTTTTTTCTTCCAAAAGAATTTAAATTTCTTTTCTCTATCCTGCCAGGTTGCTGTCATTTGAATGACATAAAATATGCAAGTAGTGGTTAATGTTTACTAAGTAAGTTATTTACATTGGGAAAAGTGATTTACATTTGATTTCGTCTTCCCATAAGCATTTCAAGTCAGGTATGATCGGCCCCAAGCTACAAAAAATGAACGGGTACACCGATTAGACTCCCTAAGCCCAAGGACTTTTTCCAAACCCTTACTGACTCCCTAAATGTCTTCGTTTCCCAGACGTTTACAAAGACTTTTCTAACAAGTTAGCAAAGTAGTGGGGACATCTGTTTTGAAAGATAGTCCTCCCAACAAGTAAACCTGTTTAACTGGAACTCATTTAGGGTATTATAATGTCCTGCTTTGCTTGCTTGCTAAAACTTCTAAGCCTCATCCCGTAGTGTCTAACATCCACTCAGTGTTGATGCTGAATTGGGGGGGAGGGGGGCTGGGGCACAAACTGTTGTATTACCTGTTTGTCATTCTGCACTTAACCATTAGGTTGAATAATCTTTTGCATTCTGGTGTGTTAAAATTTGTAAATGGATATTTTATGTTAAAGTGGTTTGTAAAACAGAAAAGAACTAAAGAGAAATTGTTGATAGTAACGTCCTTTCTCTGAGTGGTCTCATCAAATTTGTTTTCACTCTATCTTAGTGACAAGTTTTAAGCACCTTTATGAATCCACTACACTTGTATGCATCATTTCTTTCTTACTCAAGCAGCAGTAGTCTTTATGCCATAGGAAGCTATTGGTATATTGCACTCACTGGGGAGACAGAGACAGAAAGTTAGAAATCATTCCCCAGGGAGATGGTTACACTGCAGTTCTGTCTCTCGGGATTTGGGGCACATATGGCATGAATTTCAAGCTGCCAGGTCTGGGGTTCAACTGTGGTCAACTATAAGGGAATCCAACACCATAACACTATGCCACCCTCTGGTCCCATGCCCAAAATCTTGAGAAGAGAATGGAGGAGGAGTGCAGTGTTGCCAACTTTCTTGGGAGGTGTTTTCTTTTTTTTTTTTTTTAATTATTATTTATTTCATTTTATTTATTCATTAATTTATTTTAATTTGACCAGAGAGAGAAAGAGAGAGAGAGAGGGAAAGGGAGAAAGGAAACCACCAGGTCTGGGACTTGAACCGTGGTCGGCCATGTGGGAGTATCCAGCACTTTAACCACTACATCACATGCTTGTCCTGGGAGGTGTTTCCTTACTTTCTCTCTCCATTTCTCTCTCTGGTGAGTGCATGTACCCTGTAAAAGTAGGAAGAAAAAAAAAAAACTAGAAGAGGTTGGTGTCATGGAAGCCCAAGGAAAGGAAAGTTTTAAGATTAAGTGGCCAGGTCTATTGAATGCTGAGGAGAGGTCAAGTAAAATAAAGAATATTTGTCCATTGGATTTAGGGACATAGTTTCAGCTAAGAGAGCAGAAACCATAATGTATTGAATTCTACAAACATTGGTGGGCAGTGGCAACATCGTAGTCTGTGGTGGAGCAGTCAAGGGACTAGTGATTTTAATGAGGCTAAGAAACAAATACAGTGGGAGAAAAAGGTATCAGAGCTAGGATGGAAGTTTATGGCAAAAGACAGGCGTGTTGACATTTAAAGTTCACAGAGCGCTTCTGGATAATAATAGGGTTTATGCAGTGACCACGGGATCAGATAGCTGGATGGAGGTACAGGTGAAGCACCCTAAAATTGTGTTTGATGTCCTAGACTAAGCCATGGTACTGACAGTCTGAATAAATATTAAAATCTTTTGGATGGCTCTGTGGACTACGTTGCAGGTGACCCTTGAACAGCAAAGGTTTGAACTATGTAGGTCCACCATCATACAGATTTTTTTTCAAAGTCAGGACAGACATCATCTGAGCCAGCTCCATGGTCTGGTAGTTAAAGCAGCCAGATTCCACGTGGCCGATCGTGCAATTCAAGTCCCGGGCCCAGTAGTTTGAAAAACATTCTGGAATCATGCCCAAAATCCTGAAGGAAGAGAGAGGTGGAGAAGGGATTGCAGCATGACCATGCCCCGTGGCGGGAGAGGAGGCTTTTTCCTCTCCTCTGTCTGTCTGTCTGTCTCCAACAAGTACATGTGCCCTGTAGCAAAACTAAAAAAAAAGATAACGAGTGATGATAAACTTAGGATATAAACAGTACAGTACTATAAAGGTATAAATGTAATATTTTTCTTTTTTTTTTTTTTTTTGGAGGGTTTTTTTTTTTGTTGGTTTTTTGGGGGTTTTTTGGTTTTTTGGTTTTTTGGGTTTTTTTTTGCTATGGGACATGTGCACTCGCCAAAAAGACAGAGAGAGACAGAGGGATAGAAAGCGAGAAATCACCCCCCGGGGGGATGGCCATGCCACAATCCCTTCTCCTCCATTCTCCTCTTGGGATCTTGGGCACGCACCCGGCGTGAGTTTAAGCCACCAGGTCCGGGACTCAAACCGTGGTCGACTACATGGGAGTTCAGCGACATAGCCATTACGCTAACTGCTGGTCCCTTTTATGGTTTTCTTAATAACATTTTGTTTTCCTTATTTTCTTGTAAGAATATAGTATATATACAATCTACAAAGTACATGTTAATCAACTGTT